TACAAAGCATGGTGCAGGGATACGGGCTTGCGTTGCAATGTTCGACCAGCAACAGCTGTTTCAGTCCCCGGTAAGGTTAGGAGACGTTCTAACAAACGTTTTGAGACTCTCTTTATGGGTAACGACGGCCTAGAAGTTATAGAAAACAGCTACCATTGACAAACCCGTACGATGATCCCCTTAAACACGTAAATTATCATGGCCGTCCGCTTGGTGACGTCACCGTGGGATTGCCAGGCGTAGTCTAGACAGGGTTCCGAGCCGACCCCCTGGCCTAGGCTTAGGCAAAAACGCGAGTATTGGTGGGTTCAGCTGTGGCTAGTTAACTCTCCTTCATCATGCAGTGCGGTAAATACATTCCTGTCTCTATCCAATCCGACGAATGTATCCATATTTCAATTTTCCACCATTTCAAAAAAGGTTTTAGATATTAGGTATCATGTTTTATGTACAACGGTCAAAATGGTATTTTCCATCCGTCGAAAAGCATAATACCTGGCTTTGAGCTGTCTTTACCAATGAATTCCTCATCAAAAGACGGGCTTTATATATCAGGCAGGCATGGTGAAATCTCAAGCGATATTATGTTTTTAAACCCGTAGGTCTCATGCTAGACCAATATTTTGTTAAGCTTCACAGCCATGTGAATGAATTAACATCGTTTCTGAGCCCCAACTGGTGTTCAAAAACGTCGCAGTGTTGTTCGTCAATTTACGATCGATCAGCTTCTAGCGCTGCCTTAAACCACCTACATTTTAAGGATTGATACCTGATCGGGGCTGTAGAGCCGAATAACTACATCAAAGCCTTAAAAAGGACAGTGTTGAAAATGTCACAATACCTGATACATATTACGCGCAAAGTAATACAGTCCCGGAAAAGTTTATGCGATTTTCCATATGATGATCTCCATGGGAAAATGCAAAGTTTGTTCTAAGGTCATGACTCTTGTATCTATATATCCAAGCTCGTGCACCTATGTTCTCCAGCTAAAACTTGGTGCATGCTTACATCTTGTAAGTTTCCACACGCCATCGAAGGTGCTGTTGGTAAAAGACAGCGAGCAAGGCTCAGTCAAACTTAACGTTATAGATAAAGATGCTCCAACGTAATGCTATGGGAACAACTGCCTCCATTCGACCAGCTCTTTGGCCATGAAGATGCAACACAATCGCTTTGTGGGAATATTTATCTATAGCTGAATAAACATCGCGTGCTGTTGTTCATGCTAAGCATTTCAATCAAATTGACTAAACGGTCAAAATTATGTAACAAAGAAAAACTTTTTTATACAGCTGTCCCATGTCAAAGTTGCATTGTAAGTTTATCTGAGGTCAGATGCAAAAGCAAGGAGACATTGAAAAGGAGCGTTGCACGTTTGCATGGAGATTTAATCTGAAATAACCGTCTTGAATATGATTCAGTGCAGTTTCCAATCCTTTTCTTCCTAAAACCTAAATGCTTCTAGTTTATGAGTTACACGCCTTTTAAAGACGTGAGGGGTTTCTCGGGGAGAATATTGCAAGGTCTCCCAGGCATTCATGACGTGGGCATAATGTCACTAAAATACCTACACTTCATTAACTATGCGGCGATCAAGGCCAAGACAAATATACTTAAAGAGTAGTTCATATCTGGCGTTCATGAGCATGATTTCTAGATATAACAGCCGTCAGTTGGCTTTCAATCAATGTTGTGCACGGTACTATGGCGCAATAAAACAATGTCGTATTGAGGAGCTTATTTACTTGACAGAGAAATTGTGTTGTCTAGAGCAGTCTTTCAACTAAAGGTATACCATCTGATGGTTGCTTTAACATCTTCAGATATGGAACATTCTATACAATGGTGAGAAAAACAGTGCTAATCTTTGCAAACAGATGCATCTTCCATTAAGTTAAAAAGAAGGTGGAGCGTTGAGCACCGGTGCGGTGGTTGAACCTATAGGTTGATAGAACAAAAGTTCGAAAAAGTCAGATAGAGATCTGAAATCTAAATTCAGACTCGGAATAAGCTGGTAAAATACACTACGAACAGCGTTTAAGACTGTGCTTAACTTTTGTTCCTTGTACATTTTTGGTCACTTTCACTTTTTGGTCCATAATTTTCAAACCACGAGGTGTATAAGGCTGTCAGTAATTCCACAGCATGCACCTTGTAATTGGACGTCAAATGAACGTTAAAATTAGATCAATTCTATAAGCTGATCAACTTTGGTCAGCCAATATCAGACCGATAACTTCTTAAGCAAATAAGATAGAAATCTGAATCTAGTTTCAAACGACGCAAAATTGGAAGTTACATATCTGGAACTCAATATTATACATCTTGGATCGGACAAAAGTGCACATAAAATCCATTACACTCAAAACATGGTTTAATTTTTAGCCAAGAAAGTTTGTGTTCCAAAGATGCTTCGTGGTGCTCGAGTGTCTCCATATGGGTGGCACGTTTTCTGACGCGTTTGCTTTGTTACGATTTTCAGTTACCCGAAAACGCTAGGACAGATTTACCACATTAGAGTGATGGCGGTGCTTTCTGGCGAAGTTAGGTGAAAGAGTTAGTAACAGACATCAAGTTTCTGTTTAGCGTGTTTCCCACGCCGAAGTCTTTCTTTAAATATCAAAGTTCGCTCGCCTTGACGTGAGCTCTGTGACAAGTGTCTTAAACAGGACAACTTTTTCCCATGGCGTTGGGCAAAATTCAATTTTATAGTTATAGGCTGGCCCCAATTAATTCAAATTTCAAAACACAAAAAGCTTGTCTGGACGTCCAACACCACGTATTTTCACTGCAAGTGGATCTGTTCAGTGGCATTCTCACAGTAACAACTTAAAGAGAATGTTTCACATGTGAAAATATTAAGGCATCAGATATGATAAAATATGCTCACATGAAAATATTTGCATGCTTCTAAGTGCAACAGTGCTCAAGGCAGCCAAATTTTAACATTAGGTAAGTAAGCTTCTCAATACGCCATCGCTTGATTACGTCATGGAGCGTTCCTATGATGTCAGAGTCCCTGTTAGATGGCCGTATCAGAATTACTGCGGTAGCAGCCTGGCTGACTCACTTGTAGTACTTCAACCTGCTGATAGGTGGCGCGCGTGCTAGCGCGTCTGCGCGGAACTCTTTTATCGTTAAGTGCGTGTGTGTGCCCTTTCTCGTGAGGTTCTTGTATATTTGCCGTGATTGTATATTGCTTACGTGCGTTTACATACTCAGTTATGGTGTTCACCTGAGTTATTCGATTATTAGTCGTGTCTGTCACAACTTGTACCACCGCCCAACGTCCCGTATGATGCAGTACAAAACTTGACTCATGTTGAAAACTTGCACTCAACGCATCAAAATGGTAGAAGGCCAACTAGTGACCGCTGATGCCACGAATCGTGCTGAGCTATGCCGGACACGAATAGGTCGATGATCATAGTTGTTCCTGGCCTGGAGCACTACATAGCCAATGAGTTGGCCGTCGTTGCGTGACGTTTATATGGGGTCACGAGTGTATGGGATATTAGGTAAGCTTGAAATAGTCTGCAACAGTAGTCTGCATAAATTCACGGATGTCAAGCTCAAAACAAGAGTGCGTTAAGCCTTCCACAGACCATGGCTGTGAACTGCATTGAGTGATCTTCAAAATGGCTATCTCAGTTAAACATCTCATTCAAATGAAGAACACTCTCTGTATAACAACAGGTGGAACATGAAACATTTCCTTTAAAGGGAGTGTCCCATGCGGCGTATTTCAAAGCACACCCTGGTGAAACCTCAGGACCATTTAGTCTACTAAAAGCACTGGTTAGTGTCACTGCAGCAACATCACGGTTAATACGAAGACAAATTTTAGTCATTTTGAGTCCAAAATTCGCTGTAAACGCTTGTAAGAGCGCCACACTTCTTTCCTTTCTTAGAAACCCCAGAATGTATCTCGAATCTGCGAGACCCGTAGCTGTCGCGACCCTGTCGTCATGACAGTGGCCGTCGTCACGACGACGGCAGAATCTGTTGCGTATCGTTGTCAGCTGTTACGGGTTTCAGGTACCAGCTTGAGCTGTTTTAACCCGCACATTGCGGGCCTGCGGGCTTAATAGTGGCACCTCTACTGGTATGAATGACGTCAGCACAAATGGACATTTGTGATTGGCACAGCGGGCTACGAAGACCAGGTACCGAAAAGCGCATTGGCCTAAGTTTAAGCCAGTGCGTCACTTTTGACCACGTGATAATCCGATTCCCAAAGCCAACGTGCGCTATGAAAAGAGCCATTGAGGAGAAATTAAAAGTCGTAACATAGCGTTTCCTTGAATTCGAGGGATACTAGCCTTAAATTTGCATATTTTATTCTCTAAAAAGTGATTCCAGCTTTTGTAGCCTTCATTGCGCACGCATTTTGACAAAACACAAAATATTGTGTCGCAAACAATTTAGAACACACCTGTTGGGAAAGCAAAACAAATCAAATTTAATGCGTTCATGGTGGAGAGCAGGGAGTTCAATGCGATTTCTCCCGTAAGAGCAGCTACTTGAAATAGAAATTCTGAGATGTTTAGAAGGATTTCGAGAAAACTGGTATTATCGATCAAATCGGACGCGTCTGATCTAACAATGAGAGAAAAATGAAAAAACCAAGTACACTCCCATTTCAGTGATCCGTGTCAAGATCCAAAATCCGTGAGCTGCGAGCACGTGCAACATATTGGACTTGGGACCTTCTGAGTCACGAAAGCCACTACCTAGAGATTTCGAATTTTGCGTTCAGAGGTCCTCACATAAGTCATTCAATCGTGTGGTTGACTTCGAGTGTCAAAAGTGCGCGTGCGTTGCAAGGGGATTTTTTAGGAGGGGTAGTGGAGTATTTGCCATTTGGATCATGGTGGTGGTGCCATCGCGGGTCTGAACTTTGACCCCAAGCCGACGGTCTTAGTTTGTAATTAGTTGTGATGACTCCGTGCATGATATTTGGCTGACCGTCGGCGATGGCAGCTCTTTATACTTACAGCATCAACACGGCTGATGAACATGCGGCAGCACGCATCGCAGCAATCCCGTTGGGGGACGCGGGGCTGAACTGCACCCGGAACTGGGCCGGACTGCACTCGCGCTAGACTGGTCTGAAGCCGAGCCGGGTTAGACTGCTGCCGAACTGAGGCCCTTCGGCTGACCGTGCGGCACGTGTCGGCAGGTCGGAGCCCGCCTGCGGTCTGGAGCCCCCACGGCCGGGTACCTGACCGTTCGATGTGCTGCTGTGCAACATACACCACACAACGAACCGACCGCACTTAAGCAGCGCCCCGAGACAGGCGAAGGGGCTGGAGGTTGCGGCGGTGGGGCTGTGAAGCCCGCCTTGGTAACACGGCGATGTTTCGTGCTGAGCAGTGCACGGATATGGACTGCGACACGGGTGACTTTCCATGACAAATATTTGACAGCGTTTGCGTCAGGTACTTTCACTGACAAGAGATAGGAAGAAATACGGAGGACCACTGTTCGTTGTCCCCTAGTTTGCACATGCATTCACAAACATTGCAAAAGCCAAGCATATGACAGCAGCATACCTATTTTGGATGCATCGCTTTATCATACGAGTCCGATCAAGGAATACGCTCGCTGCAGTCGCGTGGTGCCCCAGTCACCTCAGTCACCATCTGTGTCGACGCCGCAGTCATGTAGAGGATTGGCGTGATCGTCAAACTTGCGTTCACACACGCTAGCCGATCCCACGCAGGCTGGTGGACGGCGTCCACGATGACCGGCACCACAATTGCTCCGCATCATCATGACGTGTAACGCGGTGTGAAGGTTAACACGCGCCCAGGTGGCCAATTGAATGCCCTTTGCTTGGGTGGGGAAGGTCAGTTTGACCCCTAAGATCTGAAAACCAAGATAGCTAGAGACACCAACGTGTATGTGAATTCACCTGTATCAACATGTTAGGCTACTAGCTCATGCCCTTGGGGTCAAGTAGGGCCAAACAAGGTCAAAATCCAGATTAGTGTCTCAGGTGCCCCCAAACCTCCTCATGCAACTGCCGTGAAGCTAGGTACCTGTTCTAAGCAAAACGTGAATGAGGTCACTTACCTTGTTTGACCTGAATAAGGTTAAGTTGACAAAATACTTAGTAGATTGCTCCTATTTTGTCAGGCGTAATAATAAGTGTCAGGGATTTCGCCGGGTGGCATGTTCAAGAAGAAAAAAATGTTGACTTAGGTCAACTTACGTCAGTGACTCACCCTGACCTCCCTAAAGTTAATGGAACATGTCTGTGACGATCCACTTCATGAATGAATTCGAAATGAACACCAGAATCCACCCACGAAACCAAGCTCTCGAGTAAAATAGTAGTTTAGTTCTGACCTCGGCCTGGCCTTTATACCTTACCCTAGGTTGATGGACTTGGCTGTAATCATAAATTCGAATCGCGTATTGCCTACGGGACTACTTCAGATGTGTATGTCATCATCTAACACTCCGTTGTGGCATCACATTGAACGATTCCCTAGAAATACCCTTTGCTGACAGCCATGGCCTGACTGGCCTGCCATATGTCAACAGCCTTGCAACCTACGTCTAATTTTTGCATCAAAAGATCCGCCTTTCAATTTTCTACAGTCATGCAAAGTTTGGCGCGACTGCTCCTCGCCGTTCGGAGACCATCCTGCGAAAATATTCTGAGGAGCATTTGACGCCCCACTCGAGCGTGTATGAATAGACTGTGCGATGAAGGTCATGAAGCGGCGCGCAGTGGGAGACGATGCCGTGAATGCTGTGAAACCACGGGCTGAAGGTAACGAAACAACGTATTGGAGGCGCCCAGGCCGAGTGCTGAAGGCTAGTGGCCAGCAGCGCGACAGTGAGGCGCAGAGACAAGCACAGCGCTTCTCCGACCTAAGACCTGCCTCCGACCTGAGACAAGACCTGAGTGATTGCTGCGGACCCCAGACCTGTCCATCTGCAGGTTGCAGGGACTGTCCCACATTTCTATGGGATTTTGAACTGGGAGTCCTTTTCACGACCACTCCCCGCAGTTCAGCGCCATAGTATTTCTAAGACTTGAAACCTCTTGTGGATGCTCGTGAATTTGTGCAGCCGTCTATGGGGAAGTCACCCAGACATGTAAGACGCCCTAAAAACGTCACGCGGGCACTCCATCTTATTGACTGTGTTGTGCTAATAATTAAAAAATATACCGGGTCACTTTAAGATTTGTGCTGGCGGTGATGCAGCACCAAATGTTCCCTAAACGGAAGGTAATTGGCTTAAAGCCAGAGTTTGCTGTCCATTTCAGCCTCCATAACTAACTGTCATCGAGACCGATTTTTCTGTGACCTTGACCGCTTTTTCTACAGCGCCACTTTATGGCCTGTAGAAAAACCACAAGTGAGTCATGACGTCCACTACAGCAGCAACTTTGACACAACTTTAGCAGCAACTCTGACGTCATGAAACCATGTATGACGGAATCGAACGATGACGTTATTTAGAGCATTTTTTGTGCTTGAAAGCAAGCTAATAGCCATAAGAAAGGCTTGCTTCAATATATTTAGATGCAGAAAAGTCCCCTCAAAGAGACTGTTCATATTTATACGAGGCATCGAACTGAGATAACCGTGTTTAAGAATTTGCACTGCAGTTTACAGTGTGCCCTTTTAAAGACTTTAAATTCCTTGTTCCTGACTCCTGCGCCCCTGAACTTGTGCAGCCTACTTCGCGCCGCCTATTTGAAAGTCACCCAGACATAGATGTCGGCATTGAAAGATAACAAGAATTCCCCAAACTCAATGGCCGTATTATTTTCAATGTCCCGTATAATGCCACATATGAGTATTCGTGTCTGGAGTGCGTCAGTACGAACCATCACATCAACAAACAACACTTGGCCAGTGTTGTTTATGCCGCCGATTGCATGCTTCGATCACGTACCGTGTCTTTATTCGTCGCACGGGCATTTGGGCAGTTATAACGGACATCAGGCTGCTAATCGAATACTGCAGAAAAGCGATAAATAAAAAAAGATTCCATCACAGAAAGGCATGTGGAAGCACTCCGAGAAAATGTCAAAACCCTCACGTACCGCCAACAACATGAAGCTTCATGCACAGCCACCAACGCCACCTTGTGGCCCTTGAATTACATGCAAGTGAATCTGCCGTCCGCCAAAATAGAAACTTTGACAAGGCCAAACTGGCAGTGACTGATCATAAAAAAACGTTCCATGACGTTAGTAAACGATGACGTTTTGAGGAGCAATTCTATTGACGGGGAAAAGTTGTGGTTTAGAGCAATCGTGTACGCCAAAAGGCACAACAATTACCAGAGAGCTTTTTCCATTATATCTAAAGCTTGCCTCAATATCTTCAACTGTTGAATGCTCTGTTTAAGCCAACTTGTGGTAAAAAGCGGATTTGTGAGAGCTCGGCTTATTATCTGAGTGTCAGCACACCAAGATTCTGGTCGTGTCGCATCAACAAATTAGTATGCTTCCGTGCCCGCGTGACCTAGCCTTGCAACAAGCTACTGTAGTAATATGTAGGCATCAACCGTGTTATCGCATGCTGTAACCAAACCGTGTTGATGTACCGTCCACGGTGCACAATGCGAGTACCATCAACACTGATGTTCATAGTTGGAGTAGCCAGACGCTGGTGGATAAAGCGTAATTGGCCAAATTGTACGAAACGTGACTTAAACCGCGAGACCACGTGATGATTGTGATAGATGTCTTGTTAAAAAGAAGATGCCAAAGGAGACCGGGATGAAACCCCGGACGGGGAGGGCTGCATGCGTGGGCTTCTGAATAATTTAGAGTATCTCCTGTCGGCCAGCAACTCCGAATGGAGAAGGGTGCCCGGGCACTAAACAGGGCTCGGTGCCGGGCAGGTGCCCCATACGCCGAGCACGGCCAGGACCAGGACACAGAGTGTCAGAGCGTCTCCCCCGGGTCGCTCAGGGGCACCTGAAGTATTGAGCGCTTCCCCTCTACTGGCCGGGTAGTCGGTCAACACGGTCTCCATCCGGTCAGGGCATCAACAGCCGAACAAGGGCAGCGTGTCCCTCGAATTCAGTCACAGTAATTCGCGTCACTCGTGACTCGGAGATCGCTGAGACAACCGCAGCCTTTCTGTCTGTGAGCAGTTCCAGCACCGGAGGCGGCCCGCACCAGCCACGGCCCCCTTGGAGAAACAGGAACAAGACTAGGGCCCCAGAATGCCAATCAGATTACCTGTTTCTAACCACTCACTGCGACCTAAGCAAAGCCAATAAGCTCTAGCGTTAAAGTGACGTGGTTACATGCTGGTTTTCCGAAATAAAATGAAGGAGGGCAGCTGAGCCGGAAGAAGTGGCTAAACCGGCCCACTAAGAACCTAGTAGCCACAAAGGCTTGACGCACTTCCTGTCAAAGCTGAACAGTCAACCGCATCTCCGCTTCAAGTCTAAAAACGTTTAAAACTAGATGCCAGGCGGTTTTGCAGGAATGTATTGCAAATTAATATGTTGTTAGAGAAAATAACATTTTCCCCTGAGAAGCATTTTAGGCGCATGCCTGCGCAGGTATAATTGTATGGCATGCAATGTGTACACGCAGATATACTGGAGCTTAAGCGCATATTTGTACTGCGTTCTAGGCTAACACCAACGGTAAAGGTCGGGTATTGCCGGCGTGCGTCATGCACTTCCTAACACGGCTTCAGTCAACGGAATCTGATAGAAACCCATACAGTGTTGTTATCAGCAGATGCACAAGGCATTTTTGACTACGCTTAGCACTTTCATATACCTTTATGTACAAATTATGACATTGAAAAGCGATTTACCTCATACCTGTCAACTCGTCACTTTGCTAAACCTGCAGTGCGGCGGGCAGTAGATTATGCAACGATAAAATGCACTCACATTTTCAGCTGATTGCGACGTCACATTTTACAAATCGGTGCTGGCCTGGTAATGGCTCCACACAGAACCTGGCGGAGTGGTACAACACCATATGGGACGAGACGGAGCTGAACAGAGCCGAGCGGGATCGGACGCGATCAAATGGTACCGGA